CGGTTACAGAATCGTGCAACATCAGCCATTTGACTTTCATCCAAATTTAACAGACGAATACGATCACCATCCTCCAATTCCAAGATATCAAAGACAGTTTCGATGTCAGTCTCTTTGCATCGCTTGATAATGTCAGCATTGAAGTGTGGCAATTGCTTAAGATATGAATCTTTGCTCCACATTGCTTGCGTTACCATTTGTGCAAGTTCCATGGCAGCGACTGCCGGCGATAGCCAACCATTTGAACTTAACACATCCACACATGCTTGAATCAAACGAATCGATTTACTGAGGATTTGCTCAGTGTCACCTTGTAATTCGGGACCTAGTTGTATACGTGATAAATGGGCTTGCAACAACAGATTGGTTTTGATGTGCGGATCATTGTATCTGGAATATGAAAATTGTTCTTTTAATTAACAAATCATTTTTTTTCTTTTGACGGTGTATTTTGAACCCATTTACACAGTCGTTGTGGGCGAAAAAAGGTTCAAGTTCTACTTACTTGGGCGATGACCCATTTGGTCCGGTCAATTTATTTGGCAATCGTTGTGCCAAACTTCGTAAAATGTTCTCTTCATGATGTCGTACCACAACATCCTCATATTCAGCGGCCGACGAAATGATTTCGAGCAAACCTCTGATTTTCGTTTTGCTATTCAACGATAAGCTGAACAATTCAATGGTTGTATAATTGATGTAGTAGTAAGCAGCAATCATGCCCAAATTCAATGGTAAAGTATCCATGCCATCTTCGATGCTGATGCACTTCGATTGCTCCAAATCGTTGAGGGTGTTCTCCACCAACTCGGACAAATGATCGGATAAGTGTCTGTAAAGAGAATTCGATCAGATTTGAAAAAGCGAAAAATAAAAGCGAGTGAATGACTTTACCTATGGGTGACCCCTTGTAAATTGTAATAATTTGGATTTTGTGTGAGACGTCGATAGAGGAATGTCCACGTAAGATAATCGACAGCGTCTTGTTTGTTCTCAATGGTCTTGGTAACGATTTCTGCATTAAAGTGATCGTGTAGTCGATGGTCCAAATGGCTTTCAATCGGTAGACTTTCGCTTAAGAATTTCTTGAAAAAGTCTTTTTTCGATGTTTGACACATCAATACGCATTTCGCATCATGATCGTCTAATGGTCGGTTGGCACGACCAATCATTTGTAGCACATCAGTTATTGGATAGTCTTCGTACGAATGATTTTTGCCATTGTAATATTGTGTGTCCATGATAACGGTCAAGTGGGCCGAAATACTAATGCCCCAGCTCAGTTCACGTGTAACAACGGCAATTTGAATGGCTCCCGTTTGGAAGAGTTGTTCAACAACTCGATGATCTGCCGTTGTAAGACCTTCATGAATGTAGGCCACACCCTGTGACAATGTTTCTTTCAACGTTTTATCGGTCATATTCTCCAAAAACGGTTGAATATCTGACTCTTCAGCGTGAAAAAATCGATTTGGTTGCGCCTCAGCAGCGGCATATGTTAATATATCGATGGCTGTCAAACGGGCTTGTTTACGCGATGACACAAATACAATGACCGGTTTGATTGGACTGTATTTGACGATGGCGTTGTAAACTGGTTTCGACATCGATGAAATTCGCGATGCATTGTGAGTCATATTGAATCCTTGCACGTGCAATTCAAGTGGAATCGGTCGTACACTTGGATGAAAATTGAATGTACAATTGGCGTTGCAGCCCAACCACTGAGCCACGTCACGTGCATCGGATAATGATGACGATAGGGCGACAATTCGAATTTGACGATCGCTGGATGTGTGAATTTGTGACGAAATATACCGCATTCGAGAGCAAACCACTTCCAATACGGGTCCTTCTTCGCCGCCAATCAATTGCAATTCGTCCACAATAAACAAATGCACATTTTGTACGTTCTTACGTTGTTTCCAACGTCGCGATAGAATATCCCATCGATCGGCCGTTGTTATGATAATCTGACCCTTGGCCAAGAGTTTCAAATCGGTGCCGGTTTCACCCGTCAGCTTAACCACTTTGACGCCAAGCAATGAACTGAATTTTGCATGCCAATCGGCAAACACTAAATCGGCCAATGCTTCTTTTGACACCAAATACACACAACGACCGTCCGATTGTTGTGCAAACAAATGCAATACCGCAAATTCGGCAATTGTTGTTTTACCACTTCCTGTTGGTGCACCGATGAATACGTTGTCGTCACTGTTGTAGACAGCATTAAACACTTGTGTTTGAATCGGATTGAATTGTGGGAAAGCCACCTGTTTATTGTTGTACAAAATTTCATATTTTGCATTCCGTAATGCTGATATCGGAAGTGGTTGCAGATCGAGTAATTCAGTTGGTGGTAGATTCTTTTCAGGCAAAATCAAATGACGGAATGAAATTGGCAATTGTGTTTCGGCCGAAATCCATCGATCGGATACAATTCGTAAGAAATATTGCGGTGGTAATGGTTCAAAAACGGGCACGAAAAATTTCACCAGATGTTCATCGGCCGCGTATTTTGCTTTCAACAAGAAAAATTCATGATGCAAAATGACTTCGGAATCAACGTCTTCAATTAAAATCCAAAATCCTTCCGACTCTCCATGCACCTTTTCGTCCCATTGAAAATCGGGCGTAATGGTCAATTCAACGCGCAATGTTGCACGAGTAATCGGTTGAATATGCGTCGATAATTCCAATTTGGGGAATTGATGCACAAACTTATGAATTGTTTTACCGAGTTTTGGCACTCGAACCAATTCACCGATTTCATTCGGTTCTAAATCGTACAAACGATCCCATGGGAAATTTTTCTTTTCGATTTTTTTCACAATCTCTTCGGGCATTTTACGGAATTGACGTAACGGTGACATTGACTGCCACATACGACGATCCACCATTTTGCAAAGGGTCAATGTTTTTTCGGCCAACTGAGCCCAGCCACGGTGCAATACTATTTCGAAAATGGCACGCAACAATCGACACGCCGACTGAGTGACATACACCATATCGGACATCAATGCAAAACCTTCCAGTTTTAATTGCGAAATGTATGCCTGAAGTAAAACATTCACTTTAGCCGATGGCTCTTCGATACTTTCTTTGATTGGGATCGGTACACGCTCCATTAATTTTTGTAATTCCAATTTTTCCTCCTCGCGTACATTGATATTGCGGAATTCACCCGACAATGAAAACACACGGAACAATTCAATTTCACTTAGGGTTGGCTTCAACAATTGATTGTATGTCATAATCGTTTCGTGTGTACAATAGTAATGAGAAGCGATTCGACCCAGCTCGGTCACTTGGAACTGACCACTCTTACGATCGTATTTAACCAAACCACTACGATCCAAATGCAAAGCTGCCGTGTGGATTAAATCAGCACGGAACTGCTCCAAATGAGGATCTTCTTTTAGACGATCGAATGATATTCCGTAGAGGGTTGGCTGTTTCAGCATTCGAACATAGAGGTATGTATAACCCAACCAGATTACGGCATCACGAACATTTTGTACTGTTCCCAATACAATTTCAGCATTCAACATGTCCGGCATTTTTGACACCATCTGACTTTCGATTGGAAGCTGTTGATTCAATAGCGACAAGTAGTACTGCAGTTCACTATGATTGGTTATTAATATACCTTCACCTTTTGTATCGTACTGTGGACGACCGGCACGACCTAACATTTGTAATACGTCCAATGCACCTAATTCAACCCAACGACCTTTTTCTGGATTGTAAATTTGCGTTCCTTTGATTATGACCTGCGGAATAAATATTAGAAAAACATTTTTTAACATTTCTTCTTCTTTGAAAACTTTTAAATATATGAAGAAATATTTTTTTTTAATTCGAAAAAATTTAACATAAATAATGAAAAAAATTGAAATTATCTAAAAAATCGTTGTTTAAAAAAAGAAAAGAAATTTTCAAAAATTCATTAAATTGATTTTTCATCAAAAATATGTATTTTTGTATTTTTTTCATTCAATCAGAATTAAATTTAATTTTAATTCAATTTGAATTTCAAAAAATCATTTTTCGTAATTTAATTTTTAGGTTGGAAAAGTACTACTTTTAAAGTAGAGAAAAAATGTATAAAATATTATCATTTTCTAAAAATTGATTTTCTCCCAAAAATAAATATTTTTGTATTTTTTCCTGAGCTATTTAACACAAAAAATTAAAAAAATTCAATTTCAAAGATTTCAAAGATTTAGGTTAAAAATAATATTTTTGAAAAATAAGAAAAATACCGATTGAATCAAATTAACCTTCCCATATCTACAGAAAATCAAATCAATGAATTTTTAAAAAGAAAAACTTCGAATAATAATTTGTATTTTTGTACGTTAAATTGCGGCAAGGAATTCTAAATTCAGGAAAAAAGTCAATAGAATTTTTTTTATGTTTCAAATAAATTTGTTGAAGATTGACGATGAAAAATATCTCAAAACCACCACCACCGAAAATAGCCATGAAATTCACACATGCGCACGGTTTTTTGATCGGGGGGGTCAAGATGACTTTGATCTCGAGGGGGGGTATTTATATGGAAAACTAAAATACAAATTTTGCATGAGAGAAACAAGGAAAAATGTGAATTGGCGAGCGAAGCGAGCCGAAATTTTGCAAGTTTGACTTCAAAATCAGTGTATTTTTGCTATTTTTTATACATTTATATTGCAAATCTGAGAAAAAAATTCTCAGAGGGAGTCAAACCGGTAAATCTCCTAAAAATTTTGAAAAATTTGCCTCAGGTCAAAGGTTTCGGGGTCAAACCGAAAAAACCCCCCCCCCCCAGCGCGCATGTGTGATGAAATTGGAGAAATAACGGAGAAGAAAAATTAGAGAAAGATATCGAAGATGAAAAACTGTGCTAATTCCATTATTTTTCAAAAAATGTAAAAATGAGTGAAAAGAATGAAAAATG